TAAATTGAGCAGTTTAAACAGTTAAAAATGGGAGAAGGGAAGAACTTCCTCCCAAGGCCTCTCTTAGGTTTACCTTGGCACTTGGCCATGGGACACCTGGTGCCTTCCCCCACTTCTAATGCACTCCCTTTTCCTAAGGTGCCATCGCAAACAGGAATACTTGCCCCATACTAAGTGCATCAATGTGCAAACCCCTAATGTAAACAGACTGCCATGGTCAAGCTTACGCAAGGAACTTGCAGCACGTCACCACTGTGCATTTGCATCAGTGTAATTACACCAAGGCAACTGTACTAAGGCACCAGACAGTACCTATCATCACACACCAGTCTCAGACTCATGCAAAATTCCAAACAACCAGCTGGGTGAGGGACAGAATACCAAGTAAAGCTGTGAGGAAGAGAGATTTAGCGTTGAAAGCTTTATTTGTGTAGGCTCAGTCTTATATTAAAATGCATTTTAATTAACATGCTATAGTATAAAAACAGCACAACTGGGAAACTGTCCTCTAAACACACACAGGGTACCCTATCTACCCACCCACTTGCCTGATAAATTATTTACAATAACCAGGTAAAATCTAAAGGGAAAAGCAGGATTTTACTTGCCCAAACATAGCATCCTAAGGTATTAGTGAATGACAAAGAGTTCTCCCATAGGACAGTCTATTAATGCAAACCTCGGTAGTAGTGCTGCAGGATGCTGACCTGGTTACAGCCATCCTGATCTTGGGGAGGGGGCAAAGGGTCTGCAGTTTTTACAAATTTCATGGAGTTCTGAAAAAGCTAGACATTGGCATTTTGACTGCTGGAAAATCCTGAGATCAGCAAGACTATCGTCTGCAGCATTTAACCACAAGTTAGACCCACCTCCTAGTAAGCATATAAGCCTTATGACTGCTGAAAAAAGAACTCTTTTTATAGATAATGATGGGCTTTGTGCTATAAAACATTTATCTTCAGATGACAGGGTGAGGATAATTCATGGTTTTGCTATATCCAAGTTACTGTATATGTCCTACTCTGACTAATTTAGATAACTATAGCCATCACCTTCTTTCATTGTCTGTATATTTATATTGCAGCTGTGGGTGTCATCCTGTTGATAAAATAAAGTGATAAAACAATCATTTTATTAGTTTTTGCAGTGATGTTGCCTCTCTTACCAAGAGATACCCACTTTGAGTAAAAATTAGTCTTAAAAGCTACAAGTCTGACCTTGTGAGGAGCTGAGCACCTGTGACTCCCCTGTCTTCAAGACTGGGCCCCATCTTGCTGTACTTACTCAATCTAACATTTTGCTTTTAAACCAGTGGGAGGTGTGTCAGAGTAAGGAGTAAACAAGCAAACTGGGGCCTGACATTATTAAATGTCTCTGTCTGTCCAGCATGATTTTCAACTCCTATGATGTCACATATAAAAAAACCATTTAAACAGTCCCAGGTTTGTACAAGGAATTGCAAAGGGCATTTTTTTTCTGCTCTCCATCTAGAAAGGCTCCAAAGCATATTCCATTGCTCTGTGCCTTGTTGCACTATTCCCCTCATCCTGCATGTCTTACAGCAGTACCTACTATGAGACACAACCCTGCAAACTAACCTGAGGTTTAATTTTAACAAGGCCACTTATTAAATGACTGTTTACCAGGATGAGGCTTGGCCACGTCAGCCCCATGATCCTGCCCTGACAAAAGTCAAAGGGACTTTTGCTGCTGGCTTCAAGAAATAGCAGACTCAAGGCCATGGACTGCAGCAGTAGGAAGTGAAAGCTGCTATTTACACTCCTCAAGGTTTATATCCAAATCCCATCTTTCAGTGCACTTGTGCTTTGGCAGGATTGGAAATTTAGTTTTTTGTGGATCTCCTCTCTCTTCATACTTATCCTAACCAAATAGCTGCTTCCAAAAACTCCCATCCTTCTGGAATGTACAAAATCATACATGAACATATCATCCTGGATTTAACTTGTTTTACAGTAACAGACATAACACGTTGTGTCCCTGGCTGGAGAGGGGACAGGCCCCACTGCCTGCACATAAGCTTTGGTGGTTTAACTTTTAGTCAGCATTTCTACTAGAGAATAGCAATTTAATGGGCAGCAATAGGCAGCACCTGTTCAACTGGCTGACCATGTGGCTGAGAAAACATTCTTCTACTTTTCATCCAGCCTCTTCCCTCTAGTTACCAGCACTCCTAGCTCAGGTACAGGGACTTTAAAACTACTGGTATTTGGTCAATCTATCTTCTAATATTTTAACCTGGGATCTTATTGATGAAAACTTAATAAATTTAACTTAAGACTGTAATCTATTTTTATTATTGCTGTCATAATTGCAGACTACTAGGCTCTAGAGGCAAGTGCAAATCCTCAATACAATTTAAGTGCTTAGCTGAATTCAATGAGAGTGAGGCATCTAAATGTATTTGAGGATCTAGGCTCAGATTTCTAATTTAAACCATAAGGATTTAATAGTACATCTTCTGCTACAAAGCCTGATAAATACACTGTACTCTGCTCACTGATTTCTCCCACTTTGTCACCTATCTTTGTAGTCTTTCATGTTTCTTCTGGCTTCTTTAATTCTTTGTTGATATTACTTGATCCTTACTTTTTCATGACAAGCAGTTATTTTGTATCTCTTTCGTAACTTGCTCATCTGACACAACCATTAGGAAGTTTACACCAACAGGGATGTATGCCAATAGAAAAAAGCAACATCCTTAATTAAAAGGCTCTGTTCATTAATAAGTACAAACTGATGGATCATGAGATACAATACAGAGAAATGATTCTGTTGTGGAGATAAGAGAAAATGTAAAAGCAGGTGAGTGTATTTATTTCCACCCAAAATACTAATTCCAGGAACTATTTAAACAAAGAAATAATTGTATTTGCCTCTCCCTGCTTTTGGATTGGGCAGATTATTTTATTTTCTCACCCAAAAAACCTCTGGGTCCACCAAGAAAGCAATCTTAAGCCATGAATATTCAAGCAGCAGGATCAGCCACATGCTGAGCTTTGCAGGAGTGAGGTTGACAAAGGACCCTGTTCAGACATTATGAAAGCGGGTTATCTTGCAGCAAGCCAAAACTGGTGTGTGGGGAGAGATGGAAATGTAAAATCTGGTTCCTTGAGCCCACGGTCAGCACAGTCCACTGCTGTATGAAGGCCAGACTGGTACAACAACCCCTCAAAGAAAGCAGAAATTCTAGGGTCACTGGATATGTATACATGCTGGACATGGCATGTCCTGTCTTGCCCTGCCCCATCACTGCTCCCCACATTGATCTATGGAGAAGTAAGTGCAGAGCTAATCCCTTACAGAGCAGGGGTATTTGACTGGGTCCCACATGGCTGTTCTGCAAGCAGATTTCCATGCAAAAAGCTCCCTGCAAGAAGCCTTAAGGCAGCCCATGTACTGCAAGGTAAAATTGCATGCAATGCCCCCAGCAACTGGCAGGGGAAACAGAAAAGAGGGGAGAAAATGCAACTGCATGCAGATTTCAATACATGCCATTTATTTCACCTCTTACAGTATTTTAAACCACTCTTTTCTTAGTGTCTAGGTTGGACCAGCAAACCTGTAATTAATGTTTATGAGAAGAGCTATTGTGGTGTGGGGAACTGCTAAGCAGGTAACTATCTAGAGCTTGCAGTGGAAGTTACCAGTGCTGCCCTCAGCACCCTCCCTAGGTCAAGCAGCTGGGCAGTTCAGTATCCGGACTGGAAGTGGGATGCATACAGCTATCCTTTCCAGGACACGCAGATGCTCAGCCTTATAGCTGTGAAATAGACTGATACACACACACACACAAGAAAGCAGATCTCTCTGCCATTAGCTCACACCACCACCTCATGGCTTGAATCAGAGCCAGTTACACCATGTGCTCTCCTCAGTACCATCCGATTTCCCCTCCAAGTTGTGAGTCACTCATACATTTTTCCCAGCTGAGGGACTCCAGGAAGCTGGTTATTTTAGTTGGAATTAGACGGACACAGGTGGTTCCACCTATTGCAAGCTCGTGTCAAGTCTATAACAAACAGTCCTTCAACATTTTCAATCTCTGCTCTCTTAGTAGCAGAGCGGTGGGAGGAACAGCTGGGTCACTATTAAGTGCACTATTAAGCACTATTAAGTGCTGGGGCTCCTATTAAGGCTGTTTCTCCTAGAAAATGGAGGCAATGAACTACTCCCCCCCGAGTCGCATTCAATGCCAATATGCCCATATGGATTCCAGGCACCTATTTTTACTATGGGGTGAACTAAAATCCCAGTTTGGAATGCTTCTGCACTCTGGATCTGGATCTGGACTGGGCAGTTATATTGCCTCTTGCGGTAGCAAGTTGCTTCTGTGACTGCAGGCTGAAAGGTCTGGTTCTTAAAATTAGGAACATCTCTTTCCACATTGTCGTACATCTTCATTCCTCATAACTTAAAAAAAAATCGTGTTGATTTATGACAACCCACCCCCAACTTTTTGTTCTAACGGAGTCCGCTCATCTTTTGTTCTGATGCTATTCTGCATCAGAGCAATCCTTCTTTAAATCGAGTATAATTTTATAAGAATTTCATCATATTTTTATTAGTCTGGAACCCAAATTAACATAAATCTTGTCTCTCTCTAAATCTAAGGGAAGAGCAGCTCTGTGTCCTGTCTCTCTAAGAAGCCGGAACTGGAACCCCACATCTAACTATCCACTGACTTTGGGATAGGTGAAACTGAAACCCAACTCGGGATAGGAGTTTTGAAAAGATCCGAATTTATAGCGGTGTTCTGTTTCTGTTTGAGGCTCAGGAATCTGCTAGTCCTATCAGTGACATTGGATATAATAATGAGAAAAAGCACAGTAAATCCCACTGCTTCTAGGAGGAAAGGTTTTAGGAGTAATTTTGATGGTTTCTTCCCCATTGTTCCTCTTGTAAACTTGGATGCTATTTGGCTATGGATGAACAGGATTGGAAGATAACATGGTCACTCTCCTCTTCTCTGTCTCTTACAGGGTTACTGGTGCTAGAAGTACCTCCCACACAATCACAAAGCCAAATCCTACTCACACTGCAGTTGCAACATAGTGCTTTCATTCTGAGTATCTCCTCAGCTGCTGGGCTGGGTCCTGCAATTTTGGAGCTGTCTGGATTTCCTGCTCCCTTGTTAGGATGAGTTTCACTCATACTGTAGACTTACACTTCACTGCAAGTGTAACAAGCACATTTAGATTTGTGATGGACAGTAAGACTCCAGAATAAGCAGCAGAAAGGTCAGTTTTAAGCAACTTGTTTGCATCTCAGATAACTATTTCATTCCAACTCTAGTCTTAAATCAGCATTCACTGTGAAGCAGACATGCAGAGCTTATCAAATGCTTCATTAGGGGAGTTTGGCCCTCTTATCATATTTAGCTCTCTTCCTGGTCACAGATGGATCACATTGGGTTCACCAGTAAATAATTTCTCTGAAATTGGGTAGGTGAAGAGTTTCAATGCCTTAGGATAATTGCCTTTCAGAACTTAAACTTTCAATTTGTGATTTGTCAGTCACAGGATGTGATTTCTATTCCTTGATTGGATGATACAACATTTATAAAAAGCATGAGTGACTTAAGAAATCATGAAAGTTACAACCAAATCTCTCAGGAAGTAGGTAGGACACTAAGAGAGACATTAGCTTTAAAAAAGGTAGGATATTCTGAATCTTTTCTTGCAAGGAAATTCATATTATAATGGGTTTCATATTTTGACTTTAAAATATACATGTTCTTTCCAGAGGGGGGAGAGAGAAAGATGTGCTTTGTCTGGTATATTAGATATGCTGGCTGACTAAAAGAAACTGTTTTCTCTAGCTCACATTCATACCAAGGCACTGCATGTAAATATGGTGTCCTTAGTCTTAAATGTAAAGTGTGGGTTCAGGTCCTCATTTGGCTCACTTCACATCAGAATCCCGCCCAGGAGCCTCAGAATGCTGTTGGGTATTTCTCCATCCCATATCTATGCCATATACCTAACAACTACACAAGTGACCCACTCTTTTTCATGTTACATTATTGCCAACTAGTCATGATAGCTATGAACTGTGTGTACAAGGACAATGATATCTGCAAAGCACATAATCAATAGGCGTGTGCAAAGCGGCAAGTATTCACTTCGGATTCGGACGATTTGGAGGGACAGTGATTCGATTCAGTGATTCGAATCACTGTTCCAATTTGATTTGGCTAATTCGGATCTGAAGATTCAGCGCCGATTCAGAGATTTGGCCATAGACTAAACAGGCAGCAGTCCTCACCACCGAATCTCTTCCTAATCGAATTGGCTACTGAAGCATCACACAGCCCTAATAATCAAATGAAAGAGACAGAGAGGCCACTGTCACAATGGACCTGTTTGTTTAGCTGTCTCTTCACAGCAATGTTTCACATCCACCAAGCATATCTGCTTGTCTCCCATTCTTCATCAACACAAAGATTCTCAGAACAGAAACAGGGGGCTTTTAATTTTTTCCCCAATTAGTAAGCCCAGAACTAGCTGGAGCAGGGATAAGCAACTTATGACCCATGGGCTGGATCTAGCTTTCCAAGCCAGGACATCAGCAGCAATGCAGTAGCAGGGAGAATACGAGGCAGTGGCCAGGTCACACTTCTTAGTGGCAATTCACAACAGTTGAGGGAAGTGGCAGTAGGGGGAGCAGTCACCCACCTTCAGACCAAGCTGCTTTAGTTTGGTTCACTGCTCCTAAAAGGTTGCTGACCCCCAAGCTAGAGAACTAAATGGGTAGCTTTATACTACATGTGGAGGTGGCTAATTTCCAACCTGGCCATAGAAGAAAAAATTTACTTTATGTGCTGGGAACACAACAAACGCCAAGTATATGCAGACAAAGGACCTCAGCCTCTTGCTCACCTCCTCCCATCATTTTCTCTACTCCTCTTTATGTTGTCCATATTCTAGACACAGTCCCACAATATGTCCATAACAATAAAACGAGTGCCCATCCTCCACCAACAGGGAAGCTACACTGATACCAAGCCATAGACTGAATCAGGTACTTATGCTATATGTCTTGAAAACCTCCTCAGCATAGACTGCCTAATACTATGTACTGTAGTAACTGACAATTTATTCTGCTGTAAAAACTATGGTGGAGATTTTCAAAGCTTACTACGACATGTAAACATGAAACCTCCATTAATGTATGTGGCACTCAAATTCTCAACCTGTATTCAACAAGAACTTCATTCTGTATTTCTTGATACTGAATACCTGGTTTCTTAGCTGTTGTGCTGCATCAGTGCTGCTTTTTTTTTTTGCATGGAATGCAAGTGACTATGCAGATTAAATAATTTTTAAAACATAGGAAGAAATTATTATTATTATTTCCTAGAACTACACTATGCTGATTAGCAATACATTTTTGGATCACCATGATACCTGGCTAATAGTTTATTAGCCTGTTATGAACTCAAGGGACTCACCCACCACCCCGATAAAAGATAATTCTTTATATATTTTTTTTTAAAATTAAAGTGGATTTTTAAGGTCCTTAATATGCTTACTTTCAATTTTTTTTTCCAATATACACTACTTTTTAATGTTTATAATGAAAATATTTTCCACGTTTGATGGCATTCATCCCTAAACTTCTACCTTCTCATAAAACCTCAGCAATTGAAATGATGTATGCAAAGTGTCAGAAGGGAGAAAACCAGATGGGAAATACACAGTACAGCCTGTCAAGTTCTGTAAAAACAGAATTTCACCAGACCGCTCCTTATATAACCAGCTGTGTAAGAGCACTCTACATTTTGAAAAGAGATTGTGTAACAAGAGCTGAATCCAGGTTGCCTCTGCCACTGACTCAGGTAATCTTCTGAAGGCAAAGGAGGGGATTTAAAGGCAACACTTACTTATACTGATAGAAACTGTGTATTTAAATGTCCTACTTTGAAAAGGCAAACCACGGTCTTGATAGCATTATAAACTATCAGGTGAAGGTGAAGTCATGCTAAAATCTTGTGTCAGGAAAACTCTTCCATTTTAAACAAGGGATTGTTAAAAAAAATACTTTTTCTAAGTACCAGGTTATAGATTATATAATGAAACACTTTATAAAAAAGAACTGCTGATGGAAGGAAACTATTAAAAGAGTGCATTGTCTGTGTGATAAATTCAATAGCAATTCAAAATGAGAAATGAATAAAACTATTAGTAAAATACATTTACTGGGCATCAAACCAGAAAATATGTAATCATATGCTGGAACCAATTTAAATAAATAAGTGTAAAAGGAATAACACCACTTACAAGACCTTTTTGTGTGTAATGAGCCTATGTATTTAACATTTTTCCTTTGTATTGGCTTCTTAAATGGGTCACATTTATGCCTGTTAAGATGACATTTTAAACCCTATTTATAAAATCGTATAATGTCTACCTTGTCTCATTTCAATTAGGTTTTGACTTTGAAATGGGATGGAAGGGGATGGACACTACAGGGTATGATAATGATGGCCTATTAAAGTTTATGTTTTGCTCAGAATGAAAAGGAAGGTTGGGAACAAGATACAGGCATAGAGACACCCCCTTGAGCATCTGAACAGATACTTACTGCCATTATACTTAAACACTGAGAGCAACTTCTCCTGGTCTCCTTAACTTCTCTGTGGAAGTGCTTACCTAACTGTTTGGGCCCTTCTCTGTTCTGCAGTTTACCCAGTCAAGGGGACAGGTCTCTCCCTGCACAGCAACTGGGTTGAAGCAATAGTAGTCTCTTCAGTCTCTCACCAGGGCCTGCCATTCACTCCCATGGCCAGATCTAGGATTTTGAAAAGGGGTGGGGGGTGAATCATCCCATATAATAGCACACATTTTTCTCCAAGTAAAAAGAAATTAGAAGCTTTACTAATATTCTAGGGCCTAAGGCTATGTACTTCAGTTTAACATTGAAGTAAAAACAAATGTGACTTAATTGGAATGAGTTAAAACAGTCTGCAGGGTGGTGAAATGGGAGCTATATTGCCAGAAGCAGCTAACAGGAGGCAGAATTGCAAAAGGAAGGCTCTCTTGATTAGTGGAGTATCAAGACCATTAAAAGGAAGACAGGGTCATTAACACCTGTGGAATGAAGAGTTGAGAAGGAATCAGGCAGATTTTAATAAGCTATCAATTCAATTGATGCTGTCACTGCAGCCTGGACAGAAATGCTGCTGCCACTGCCAGGCAGTTGGTGTTAAACTATGGGTGGAGCAGGAATCAAATGAGAGTGCACCCCCCTCCCCTTCCGGATGCAACCTCGTTCACTTGCTTCATCCCTTCCTGTGTCGGGTTTCCTGTCCTCACTTAGGCTTTCCAGAGTGGTGCTGTTGTGAAATCACAATGACCTGCTCCCTACCCAGCCCCATTTGGAAACAGTCCTCCAATTTGAGGGAAACATTTCACTTAGTGTCATGTTAAACCCACTTCTGGAATGTAAAAAAAAAAAAAAAAATCATTAAAAATGCTGAGTGCTGATACAGCAGCCCTGCCTTTCCAGCCAGATCAGGGCCTATGCCAAGAACCAAAATCTTGAGCTGTTAAAGCATGGAGCTTGTTCTGCAACCCATGTGACAAGGTGCGGGTTAAACATTACTGCCCACACCACTATTTCTGAACAATTAGTAAACCACTCCTCCATCTCCTGCTTGGACCTGCCTGACAGTGAGATGAGCCTCACAATTTCCAGTGCTGCCACCTCTTACAGCCCCTGTTATTCCTCTCCACCCTCCTCTGCCTGCCTTACCTAAACACCCCGTGTCCACCAACTGGAGGCTGTGTGCCTGTCTTCAAAGGGGCTGTTCCCTCTCTGGAGTCCAGTGCCAATAAAGCCTGTCATTCTTGGAGAAAGTCTGGTTTCAAAGAGGACATGCCACTTGAACAGTGAGTGGCAGTCTTAAAAACAGCCTATATGCAAGCCAATGGAATTCCCCTTTCTTGCTCTCTGGGCATAAGCCTTTCAGATCCTGTTGCCTAGCTCCAAACCCCCTGATCTTCTGAAGCTTTCTATGGTCCCCCTGAGCCTTTGGAAAACTTAGGGACAAGCCATGGTATGTTCTACATCTGCACAAGCCAGGGAAGAACAAATTTTATTGCAGCTGTAGAGAGCCTGCCTGACTGCTATAAATCATTCCCCATCAGGTGGACTGTAGGCTACCTATTACACCTTCATTCTAATAGCTAGCACACCTAACATTCCCTCTAGCCTCTCCTTCCCTGCAGCTCAGCCTTTCTTCTCTGCCATCCTTCAGTTCCACAGACTTTTTAAAAAGTCATTTTTTAAAAAGTAATATCGAGTTTTACCCACGTGGGAATGTATTTCTCTGAGGTCGAGGGGTTTCTGGTAGCATGCACGTGTAGTTTCTAAAAATGCTCAAATACCCTCCTGCACCTTAAGCTGGTGTATTCGTCAGTGGGAAAGAGACAGAGGAAAAATTGACTTGGAGACTCACTGGGAGTTAGCAAGAAATGCCATCATAATTCAACCTTGTTTTTTGCAGGTGCATAGGGAGAAGCAGAAGAAGCCTGATTCTACAGTGTAAGAGAAAGCATGTGCATACACCTGTGTGTAGGAGGGGGAGTTAGATTGTGGTGCACCATGCTCACAGTATGCACACCCACTGGACCAGGCTGGGCTTAGCTCTGCAAGGCCCTCTCTGCTGCAGTGTTCACAAAGCACAAAAAGGCAAGGTGCAGCAGCACTCCTGGGATTCACAGAGGTGCAAATCCTTACATCCTCCCTAGAATGAAAGGCCATCTATACATTACAACAGACTACTATTCCTACTCCTCTTAGGGGGACTTCTCTCCCTTTTATTCCCCTGAACATGTCAATGGCTTGTTCTGGATTTTGGTTTAAGCCAATAAATGAAAATAAAGTAACACAGCAAATACACCATCTCAAGGATGAAAAAGAAAAAAGCAACAAGGTTTAAGAATACTTACCAGTTAGAAGACAAAGAGGACCAACAGGCTACATCCAGCTACAAAATGGACGCTTAAGGGCTGCAGCTGCTCACCCCTTCCAAATTAAAAGGGGCAGTAGCACTGAGTTTTGCAGGGATTTAAAAAAATCTCCAGGATTATGCAAAAGTGCAAAGCCAACCCAACCCACCTGTCCTTTTGGGTATGAATTTGAGAACACACTCCCCTCTGTGATGTTTTCCCAGATCTTTACACTCTTCTCTCCATGTTCTTTA